AATTTTCAACTTTTTTTATTTTTTCTTTGTTTGCGCTGTAAGACGTTTCTTTTTGCCAAATTTCGTGATTATAGGTCAACGGGAACTACCACATAGGTTTTCGACCCAAAAACCTATACGGTTCTTCCGGTCGACCTAGAATTGACAATTTTGGTTAAAAGCAAGGTCTTACAGCACAAGTAAAGAGAAAATTCTGAAAAATAAAAAAAGTTGAAAATTAAGGTAAATTTTGGTACCTACAAGTTTTCGCGAAAATCGAAATTTGCCTCTTCTTTTTATCGTGTTGACTCAGGACCTTGATTTTTATACACCTAATAGGGACCATAGACCTCAGTATCTGGTCTACCCGTTCCTGAGAAAATTGGTGGTGACACACGGACAGACGGACAGACGGACAAGAAAGTGATCTTAAAAGGGTTCCTTTTTTACCTTTGAGGTACGGAACCCTAAAAATGAAAAAAAACCACACTAGTCTACACTACATTTCCACTTAAGAAATAGCCTGTGCTCAATTATTTTTTATATCGTGTTTCTAACTTTGAAAATAACAACGGTTCAGACGGCTTTAGCCGTGACATTTCCAAAAATCCTTTCTTAGTTACAACATAAAAAACATCAGCTGCCCAAATTTGAAGTTTGTAGCCCCAGCGGTTTAGACTCTGCGTTGACTAATCAGTTACTCAGGGCAAGTTATTTTATTATTATTATTATTATTTAAAAGGCCCCAGTCTAAGATTAGACTTTTTTCGGCCTTGGTTCGATCTGGTCTGGAATATTGTGCTCAGGTTTGGTCACCACACTACGAGGTACATATCAAACGTCTCGAAAGTGTCCAAAAGCGTTTTCTTTGGCACCTTTCATACCAGTGCAATAAAGTAAAACTGCTGCCGACGTATGAAAGTCGTTTAAAACATTTTAATCTCCACAGTTTGTTCGATCGTAGGCAGTTATTGGATCAGATTTTGCTTTACAAATTAGTTAACGGTGACTTAGACTGCCCCATTCTTATTGAGAAAATAAATATAAATGCTCCCTCAAGGTCTCTCCGTGCCAATAAATACGCTCCTTTTTCTATTAAATCTTCTAAAACCAACTTGGGTCAGAACGCTACTATAAACATTGATATAATACTTACATAGATGAGTAATTACCGCCTAAAATCGTTGCTACTGCACATATGTCCACAGGCATATGCGTAGCAAACGTCAATTCATTATTCAATGTGGCGTCAACCGAGTTGAACATAGCGACACATGACAGTAACAATCGCCAAAATGGCTAAATGCGTAGTGAAAGAATGCGATTCAAGGTCACAAAACATTAATAAATCATGCGGAATTACTTTTCACGTGTAAGTTTATGGTTTTTGTATTGATAATATCGTAAATAAGGCTATAATTGAAATAAAACACTGATAATTGTAATTTAGAATCAGTGTTACCATTAAAAAATCATTTTGGTTTTCCCACATTAGTGGGAGAATTTATAATTTATAAAATAATATGCTTTATACTGTTTTTAAACATTTTGCCAATAATAATAAAATATAGGAAGAACGGTAGTTGTTAGGGCTGGACCGATCCCTTTTTTTAGGGACCCGTTGAACGTTGAAAAAAAACACGTCGAAAAAAGCGTAACCACTTTTGAACTTTGACGACGTAGCTTTGATACCACTAAACATTTGAAAGTAAACATATTTATGTCTTATTTACACGCGAGACAAGAACAATACCTGACTGACTTTTGTACAAAAAAAATTATTCATTGTTTTTCTTAATTTATTATCAATTTTAAATAATAATTGTACAAAATAATAATAATATTAAGATACAGAAGGCAGTCCTCCTTGACACGGCTCGTATAGTGAGGAGGTTCCTATCTTTGCAGTCCTAACCACTGGTGTCCTGGTACCTGTACCCGATGTCGGTGGTCTACTATTTTTTATATTTTTAAATGTATTTTTATTTCTTTTGTAATATATTTAAAAATGTAATTAATATGTATATATAAAATTTAATAAAGAGAATAATAATAAATGTTTATCATAAAAATAAAAATATAAAATAAAAAAGTAAATAAACATAAATAATTTTTTTTATAAAATAATTTTTTTTTTTTTAATTTGTTTTTTAAATTATAATAGAATTTGCAATACACCCTGGGGATTATTTATTATCAGTACAAGTTGATCATTCACTTTTATTATTGCTATTATTTTTACATACGTAAAAATAAGAGTGTATCATGAAAGTAAAATATCCACACAAACTTATAAAAAAGAGTCTAAAAGACAATTGTATACAAAACTGATGCTTCACAGCGCAGTTTGATTTTACACTGAATATAAACCCTTTTAACCAAATATTTTCAGTTATTTTATTATTTATACCTATTCTATTCAATTCGAAATATATTATTTAGAATATTTAAATTAATTTATTTTATTACAAAATTGTTTTAAAAAAAAATTGTTTCTTAGTTGTTATGGGTAAAATTTCATACGGTAGTCAACACTGGCCCACCATCGTAAAGTTATATCTTTGTCTTTGTCTAATCCGAGCGATGGTATTGTTCTTGTCACGCGTGTAAATGAGACATAAATATGTTTACTTTCAAATGTTTAGTGGTATCAAAGCTACGTCGTCAAAGTTCAAAAGTGGTTACACTTTTTTCGACGTGTGATAATGAGGTTTGCTTCTCTAGTGTTGTTTTAACTCAATGACTATAAATAGACTACAAAGCCAGTATAACAAGCTGACGAAAAATCATGAAATTGATGTAGACATCTTCTCAAACAGTCTGCCAAAATTTAAAAGTAAAGTTATTGCGTCATTTGGACCTTCTTAGATCATCACTGTCTTTAACTAATTTCGATGATGTTCTGTATATTTTGTGTATTATTATAGATATTGCATTGTAATCTTAGATGCAACTGTCCCTTACCATGCCGTGGCAACTTGTAAGTAAGACAACACTCAGAAAATAATTGTAAAACATGTTTGTAAATTATGTATTAGTGTATGTTTTGTAAGTTGTCCTATATAAATAAATAAATAAAAAAAAAAAATTATGATGAGGCAACCCTAGCTACGGCGAAACTGGTATTCGAAAATAACGCGTAACTTTTCAATGGTGCACTATCAGCGGTGTTAGTGTAAAGCATAATACGAATGAACCACTCATTTTTAAACGAAATGTTTTAGTTTTATTGTAAATTAACTCTAACTAGATTTAGATGTATTGTTTTATTTCCGGACCAGCCTAACGTGAACTGTCATTGTATAGATTTTTGTATAATAGCATGTGAAAAATATACTGGAGCCATATAGCCTTTATGTAGTCATTATTACATGTTTTTTATCTATGTACATACCTATTGTTAAAATTTCACAATAGCCACTATTTATGGTCAAGAAGTAATGATTGAAAATTTATTTGCTTTATTTCATTCAATAATTCATTGTATTTTCCATAAAAACATTCTTTAGAAAATACCACTACTTACACTAACTATTAAACTGTCACCTTCCATGACATAATTATGAGTACGTAAGAGAATTGAATTTGATGCGAGAAGCCCAAAAGAGAGAGGCCTATGTCCAGCTGTGGACTGCGATAGGCTGATGATGATGATGATGAAGAGAATTATAGCGATCTTGCTACTCTGAATTGCCCGTCATGTGGAGCAGACCGCCTAGTGTGAGTTTAATTCACCTCTACTCGATCGTTACGTTGACCGCGTTCGATTGACCCGCACTGCACTGAAATTTTTACCAATCGCAACGCCAAACTCATTCGCCGTCGAGAGCAAGTGGATGTGAAATTAACTCACACTAGGCCCGCTGAAGGCCAATTCTTGTAACGTAACTCTTGATCTCATAACTGTCAAAAAATATATTTTCGTAGTAAAATATTAAACATCTAACGTTGACTGTAAAGTCAATCGTATTGTAACTGAAAATTGAATCGGTAACCTGTTATAGGTAATACTTTACTATTTGAACACGAAAATACCTTTTATGACAGTTCTCGCAACTGTCATAAAAGGTATTCGGTATTCGAGTGCGAATCGGCACTGAATTTTGACCGAACTTTTATTACAAGAATTGGCCTTCTGGTGGCAGTGGCCGTGGTCAGCTGACTATAACGTTATCGCGTTAATGCCGCAACGAATATATAATTAAGCACGTACTTATTGTCATTTATAAAAGTATTTATGTCATGCGGAAGCGAAAGTATTTATCAATGATCTATGATAAACAACAATCATGGGAGAGTCTTGCCAGAGAGAGACAAGTTTACTGAAAACCGGTGTTAAGTAATTCTTTCCTTGTTTTTTTTTCTTGGTTTCTTTGAATTCTTTTTTTCACAGAATTTTACAGAATTTAAGATTTCAATGAAAGTTTTTGGTTATTTTTACTTTTTTTTTATGATTATTTTTATTTGTAGACTAGCTGAGACCCGCGGTGTTACCCGCGTTTGTTGTTATAACCGCGGGGCGAAGCTAGTCTGAAAAAAAGTAGCCTAAGTTACTCCTTATGTCATCAGCTATCTGCCAGTGAAAGTCCCGTCGAAATCGGTCCAGCCGTTCCAGAGATTACCCGGAACAAACAGACAGACAGACAGAGAGACAAAAATTGTAAAAAATGTTATTTTGGCATATGTACCGTGTAAACATACATATGCATTTAGTAAAAAGCGGTTATTTTAATATTACAAACAGACACTCCAATTTTATTTATTTGTATAGATTATGTATGTTGTCTACAAATAAAATGTTATGACACGAAAAAATACTTAACTTAGTCCAAATATTTATAAATTCATGAATAAGTATGTATAAATGAAAATGTTCGTGACCCTGTTGTCGTGAATAGCTCTATGCGACCTCTTGCCTTCATGCTAAAAAGACACCTAATTTTTAAGTCCAATAGAATGTTTCAAACTGTAGAATAATTGCATATGCTGTAAGTCATTAACAAAATTCTTTTTGTTCTCAGATGGAAGACGACAAAACTGAATCCCATGTGACGGAGGATTCGGAAGGTTCTGGTATGGACAGCGATGATCCTCTCACAGCGACCGATACCAAATATGGTAAAAGTTTTAGGTTAGTATATTGTTATTACTCGTGGTATTAGGACAAGGAAGTCATTTTAAACAGAACACAGTCCGTAATGGGCTGTCGGTCTTAGGCCCTTTGTTTAATTTCCGGGTGTCTCGACCAATTACTTCGATTTAACGAGCTCAGTTAATCGGCAATTTAACTTATAATCGGCTAATTATTTTTGATATTTGAGTATGAGGTAACTGTTGCGTCATACCAAAAGAAAGTCAAACCGAGAAGATAGATATTCATATAGCACATCAGCAACTAGCCTCGGCTTCCTCCAAATAGCAGAGCATATATGGGAGAGTAACCAAAATGACACTATTTGGTATAGTATATTGGCACAAAAAGGAGCTCTACAAAATGGCGGAGTGTTAGTGGCGCTGCTAGTGCTTCTTTTTGTTTTGCTAGTGTAAAAAAATTGTGCCGTTTTGGTAGAAATACAGAAGTGGTCCAATTTAAGCGCCGGTTCAATATTGGTTACTCTTCCCTATGCCTAAAATTTTTTGTAGCCTAACAAATTTAACGAAATCGTTCGGGACCTTGTTTTGTAACAAGTAGGATGAGTTCACCAGTTCCGAAATTGAAATAGGCTATGTCCATCCGTTGGATGTTATCAGATATCGCATGTGGAACTATTGAGTAAGGCCTATCATTCATCACGTACGAAGCGTACGATTCAGGATTTAATGTCCCATGAATTAGATTTTATTTTCAGGTCTTTGAATTTCGTTTTGTTTATGCTGAAGACATGTATAACAGTATCAAAAGCTGTGTAAAATATGTACTCGTTAATGATGTGACGAATTCGGCATTTCGGTACGTGGCGTGGCGTGAAGGTTATATACGAGTATATCAGCTTTGTTGATCAATATATTGTGTAAAAACGGATTAGCCGGTTATATTATTGTATATGTATACGGTAGTAATAAGATTAAGGGATATGATGATGCCAACATACCTATACCAATATAAAGCCGGTAGCATGAAAAAAAAATTACAAGATTGTAGTTCCTACTATACGCATAAGAAAACATCGGTTGAGTATCTGTCTTTTATGGTTGGTAGTGAGGGGATGGTCCGACCCGGTTATATCTGTTAAAGCTGTTACAACATGTTAATAGCCAAGATGCAAAATTTAAAAATCGGCTAATACTTGACTTGGTGCCAGTTATATGAAGTACTTCATGTCTTTTCGCTTTTTCTGCAACTACCGTTGAAGTAGCAGTGTTACTTTCTTTCACTGTGACCTGAGCATCTTCGCTATGCACTATCAGTTATGTATTATTTTATTTTATATTATTTGAATCTCCAACAAGTAATACAACTTACAGGCTAGTTTTACAGCAAATAATATTTTATGTCTTGTGCTGTCTCTATTATAGGAGACCGCAACATGGACATTACAAAAATAATTAATTACAAACGGTGGCTACAAATGGCCTTTGTAGATGAAAAAACAAATGAAGGAATTAAAACAATTAATTAAAAGTAATTAAAAGCGAAAAGTAGTAAATCTGTAGTAGTTAATATTTAAATAGGTATGTCAACAATTGGTAGCGGGCTCCCTACAGATGCTGTTGCCTAATCTAGGAAGGAAGTCGAGTCGAGAGGAAGTCCTAGTCGACCAAATCGGACGAGACCTGTCCCCGTCAGCGGGGACGGAGAGGAGTGCTGGGGCGTAGTGGTCCCTGTCTGTGAAGTTGTAATGCTCCAGAAAGAGACCTCTGAACGGAATCGGGAGAGGGCCGTTCCCGAGCGTAGAGGACTTCGGCGGCGATACTAGCCGTATGCCCACTATATAATGTTTTAGCTCTGCATCGCCCTAAGGTTGACTGGGAGAAAATGCCTAAGGCATTAAGTCCACCTTTGTCACATTTGTGCATAAAGTATAAATAAATCAATAAAAAAGAAAAGAATGTCGACTAGACTTACATATGTTATGCAAATTTACAGACATTTCACGAGAGAAGCTCTACCGAGGCTGGACAACTACAGGAACGTATTATCGCTACATGCGGCCCCTCGACCGACGTTGGATGAGCTGCATAACGCCTCACTATCTAGGAAGGTAAGTGTCTGCTGTAAAGGTAGATTGATTGATTATATACCCTCTAGTTGACAGATGGTTATATGTATAATATTTATGAAGGACCTGTTGGTCTAGGGGTTAGTGACCCTGACTGCTAAACCGGAGGTCGTGGGTTCGATTCCCACCCAGAACAAATATTTGTGTGATGAGCACGATCGTTTGTTCTGTCTGGGTGTAATTTATCTATAATATGTATGTATTTAGAAATAAATAAGTATGTTTATCAGCAGTCTGGTTACCATAGCACAGGCTCTGTGTGAGGTTATTATTATTGTTATTATTTTAGCCGAATCTTGTATTTCATTGCTATTAATTCCTTGTGCGACTGATGCAACAATTCTGATTATGTGGGCCTTAGTGCCAGTGTCCATACTACTTTCCAGAACGGGACATTTCGGCACTATCAGCTAATATCTTCCCTTTAATTTACTCGTAATATTGTTGTGAAAATAAATCAATGTTTAGGCATATGATTATGTATTTTTTGCACCGTCCACAGATTATCATCATGTTTTCACATTTTACCATAAAATTAAGCATACATTTTGCCAGAGGTACAAAAAAGGCCTTAAGTAACTTACATCTAGACAAAATGTAATATTTCGGAACGACGGATTTTTTTTACGAGATCCAAGTCACGAAAGAGCTAGTACTAAATAAAAATATTCATTTCATTTTTCATTCATTTAAAAAAAGACAACTCCCGCACTAGGAATATATCCTGTGTCGCGGGGGACTTTATAAACATACCGGAAATGGACACAAAGAACACCCAGACTCAACAATTTGTGGATCACACAAAGTGTCGTCCCGTGTGGGGATCGAACCCATAAGACTCAGCGTAGTAGTAAGCGGTAGTAAGCGGCGGCGACCGCTTAAACCACTACGCCATCTGTGCAGTCTTCTCAGTAACACTTAATTGTCCTCAAATTTATGTTTCTGTATTAAAAGAAATCTCTTTAACCCTATGCGGATAAAAGTAATAGTGCACAGGAACCTTCATCCTTATAATCTTCGCGGTTTTCTCAGATATCTGATGCGCTTCTATGCACTCACGCTCAAATACCTATACGGTTTTGTTTACATAATGTTGTTTACCACGCGGTTAGAGCCGTAATCGCAACAGGCGATATTATAACTAGTATTATAATTTTTAACACTGCCACGTCTAAGGACAAGGTGGTCCCTCGCATTTAATAATTCATTAAAGAAACTTCATGCATGAAAGGTGCTACAAAATATAAGCCAATAATTTTATGAGTATTTTAAGACCAGGTTTAGCCAAACGAATTATTGGTCCTTCGAGCTGAAACTCATGTCTTTGAAGTTGGCATGGCAAATTTGGCATAGAAACAAATAAGCTATTGAGCAGTAAATTAGCCGCAAATTTACCGTGAAAACGAAAACTTAACCGCAACCAAAGAAGCCCGAAAATCGGTTTGCAGTTCCACTTCAAGTGAAGTTGGCATGCAAAAACCTTAAAATCGGTTAGGATCGTTCTAGACAATTCTACCTGGTCTCACAATTTGCCGCTGATTAACCGCTGGCGATATATCCCCATTTAGGGCGAATACATTTGTTTTTGATACTCGGTTTTCTGCAACTCGGGTTGAACTTCTGTTCATATCAAAAATAAGCTCACGAAAAAGATGCAAGTACCCTCTTTTATTTAAGAAGACTGTAATTTACTTATTGTAGTTTATAATTCATAATAGCTTAAAGTATACATCCTTAAAAAACTCAGATAACTTAAATCGTTGCAATCTGTACAACGGCAACTTAAATTCTGTGTACCACTAGGCGAAATTACGCCAATCGTTGAAGTCTTGAAATCCCATCCCCTTGTATCCCATATGATCGGTCTTTAATCGCTTTCACCCAAGGGCTCTCTGACATATTTTCTGGCTGAAATTAAATAAAAATAAATTATTAATTGTGCATCATGATTGCCACTAAAAGAAATAATGTAATTAGTTTTAGACAGATAAAATCTGTTGCGGAAATCAGAAGATTTTTCGGAATCTCACGTCAATTAAAAATTATCACCATGTTAAACTACTAATTAATATTTCACACCTATAAGAAACAAGACGCCACATTGCGATGTAATGGTGTAAACCTTTAACCTTATAGTACCATACGGTCAAGTTACTAATTGTGCTAATTGTTCGCCGTCAATTAATTGGTCACGTTATTTTGAGACGTCGCATGACACGTGAGATCTCTTGGTAAACATGATACCCTAGTACCTGCCCCAACTTAATATGATGGAAAATTAATAACTGTTGTTTCCACATATATATATATGAATATAACACAAGACATCATTTATACAATTTCCTCCAAATATGTCTTCTAGAAAGCACTTAGTTGAGATCTTTTTACACGCTTTAAATTAGCTTCACTTGTATGTTTGTTTGTATGTTTGTAACCGACTCTTTTGGGCGGGATTTTGACTGACTTTAAACGGTCAGAATTCGTTCAAACTTTGTAAATATATCGAGGACGGATGACAATACACTAATTTAAAAAAATAAAAATAAAATATAGTTTTAAAAAACTAAAAAACACGCTTTCTATAGAAAACCAAACTAAAAAAAGCGTTGGGTGCCTGTTGTCAATAGTAAAAAGCACCCCACGCCTTTTTTCCAATTTATTTTCTATTTTTTAGCTATATATTTTTTTTTGGACACTATTGAATGCAGGACGAATTTTCTCAGAATTTATTTCATTCAGAGAGCCACGTAGTTGCGCTGCAAACTGTCTACTGAAGTCCCAAGAAGTCTGAAAACTCACTTATTTTTGGCAGTCTTGTAGGATTGCATTTCATTTACATGACCCTTACCGATGTTTTAGCAAGTCAGGAGAATATACTGAAGAAAATTTGCTACAATTAAATATTTGGCTGTCTGTGTTAATGAGTTCTAGATGTCGAGAGTCTATAGTTGTCTATAGCTCTGCCAATTCTACACATGGTGAAAAGGCTCGCTGGTTTTACCCATAATTAATATTTGGTCAATACCTTGTGATGTATTCCTCATCAATCATCTTTCTGTCCTTTTCCCAAATTATTCAAATTCAGGGCAATGTGTGAAATTGTCAAGGGTTTTGACAGATTCTTTAATGGCCGGACTAATGCCAACCATCAGTTGATATGTAATTGTTTTCAAATGGGACAAAGAAGAAGGTAAATTGATTTAAGAATAAGAAGTAGGGCGACAAAACCAAGATAAGAGATACTGCAGGTCTTGGATTGCGAATCGGGGCTAAGATCTCGATGAACTATGTGTCTATTCTATGATTGAAGAGTCAACTGGTCAATCTATTAACCTAAAGTTCAAGGGATTACGAACCCCGTAGGTGTGTGCTCATTAATACATGGTGATGCTTGATCTACGACCTTTTACTCATGAACTAAATGGCTATGTTGCACTTGGCCACAGCTATGCATTCACGTGACGTATTTAAGGATTGAAACTGCATTGTATCGTATATACGAGTCACAATTATTGTTTCCTTTAAAATAAGCTTTTGATTTGAACGATGCTAGCTAAGCAGCAAACTGTTTAAAATGGTTTTTGTCTAATCTATACTAATATTATAAAGCTGAGGAGTTTGTTTGTTTGTTTGAACGCGCTAATCTCAGGAACTACTGGTCCGATTTAAAAAAAATCTTACAGTGTTAGATAGCCCATTTATCGAGGAAGGCTATAGGCTATATATCATCACGCTAAGACCAATAGGAGCGGAGCACCAATGAAGAATGTTTCAAAAACGGAGAAAATTTATTACTATTGAGAGACGCAGACGAAGTTGCGCGGGTCAGCTAGTTTATTATAAAACCAGCTTTTGCACGCGGCTCCGTCCGCGTGATTGTCGGTACACTAATGTCTCAATAGTTAACTAGTAGTCACTCAATAGTTAGACTATCTCCATACCAAATTTCATCTAAGTCTGTTCAGCGGTGATTGATTTCCCATACAAACATACACCCCCCTTTTCACCCCCCCTTAAAGGATGATTTCTGGGATAACGAAACTATTATATGTTCTTTCTCAGGACTCGTACTATCTCTATACCAAATTTCATCTAAATGGGCTCAGCGGTTTAAGCCTGACAGGCAGAAAGACAGACTGCACGGATGGCGTAGACTGCACGGATGGCGTAGTGGTTTAAGTGGCGGTCGCCACGCTGCTTCCTACTACACTGAGTGTTGCGGGATCGATCCCCACATGGGACGACACTTTGTGTGATCCACAAATTGTTGTTCTGAGTCTGGGTGTTCTTTGTGTCCGTTTCATGTATGTTTGTAAAGTACCCCGCGACACAGGATTTATTCCTATTGCGGGATTTGTCTTTTTTTTTAAAAAGAGAAAAAAAAAGAGAAAAAGAGAGGTCTCGGGTTCGATGCCCGGGTCGGACCAAATGTATGTTCTGCAAATATTTGTTTCGGAGTTTATATGTTTTCTGTAATCATCATCATCATCATCCTTTACTAGTTCTCTGCTGGACAGAAGCCTCTCCTTAGAAAGGAGGTTTTGGCAGTCTAATGTCTTCTTATAATTCAAGATGTATGCTATAATTGCTCATAAATCGATAATTAATGATTACAATCTTTCCTTGCAGCCAGGTCAAACTTTAGAGAAAGATATGGCTGACAGGACGATGGAAAGTCCAAACATGAAATTTGGATGGATAAAAGGTGTGCTGATGCGGTGCCTTCTCAACATATGGGGTGTGATGCTGTTCCTCAGGCTGTCGTGGGTTGTTGGACAAGCTGGAGTGGGTTGGTATCTTTAGTGTTCGGGGCCATCGACTCAGATTTTCAAAAAGCTCTATAGAATCTTATAAAATATGTTTAAAATTCAGCATACAAATTAATTGTCTATGTGTTTTTTATTAAACCAAGGAGTATAGTAATAGTTTCGACTTTTCGTAATAACGCAGCAAAAAATACAAATCCTTAGTAGATGTAGATTCTGCTAATTCTTTTACTTTAAATGTATTTGCTATACTGTTGGGCTTGTATAAACACGCAGAGAAACTTTTATATTTTTAAATGAAATTGCAGAAAATAAGTTCTATTATTCTTGACTCCTAATATTAGATTAATTGTGTCATAATTACAATTAATATTTTAAGTATATTATAGTGAATAAGATAGTTATTTCCCGGCAGCGCAGTCAATGCTCCTGATCCTCACAACATCCGTGGTGACCACCATCACAGCGCTCTCCATGTCCGCCATCAGCACCAACGGAGTTATTAAAGGAGGTAGGTATTATGTATTTTTTTTGGTATTCACTCTAGTAACTAATGTCTAGAAATTCTGTTATGGTGGAGGGATGTGGAAGAATTGACTGGTTAAAAAATATCTGGAAATAAATAATGGAAAGAAATAATACTCTAAATGTTACAGATAAAGGAACGAGTTCAATTAACTAATTTAAAAAAAAAACGGATCATTTCAAAGGGAATAACTAGGAATGTATAGTTCAAACATTCTTAACTTTGTCTTAGAACTTTGTAGATTGCACTTGTTTTAATCGAGCTCAAACCTAAAGGTTGAGTTTCAAGCATCGAACCTTTCTTCTTTCTTCTCCTACCTCTCTCTCACCTTACTTTCTACCTCTTCCCCCTATCTTTCCGTTTTCTCCCTCAATCTCGTCTATCTTTCCACAATAAACTAAACATGTCTAATTTACAGGAGGCACATACTACATGATATCACGGTCTCTGGGCCCCGAGTTCGGTGGCTCTATCGGCCTGATATTCTCAATGGCGAACGCTGTAGCGTGTGCTATGTATGTTGTTGGGTTCGGAGAGTCACTCATCACCCTTATACCGGACACGGCTTTAATGATTAGCAAGAGTTGGGTAAGTTATATTTTTGTTCTTGTTGCAGAGACGAAATGTTTTTAACGGGATAATAAATATGGCCAAGGTTTTGGCCTACTAGTGCAGTCGAATAGGACTGTACTAGTAGGTACTCCATTCTAAGAAGAGGCCTATATCTAGCAGTGGACTGTTAAGGGCTGTTGATGATGATGATGATTCGACTGCATCGCACAATCGACTTACGTGTTTATGGCATTGCATTGGTCTGGATTAGGGATGGAGTAAAATCACAATCACCTGTTGTAAATCATATGATTCTTAAATCAAATAACCACACCTGTGACTAATTTATTCGTTCGTTGATTTTGAATAATATGCCTTTTGACGCCTAAAGAGACTTTATTACTAATACCCTTAAGAATGTTCAAACAATACTGAATAAATCCGAAATGATTGTTGAGGTCGCTGAGTTAATCTTCTATTCGCTTAAATCGCTTCAACGCTTATCGCACTGTAGCTCTAACTATCCTACTTTTTAAATTATTCTTATCTCTTACAGGACCAGGCCATATACGGCTGTATAACAATAGTACTTCTCACCGGTATAGTTATAGTCGGAATGGAGTGGGAAGCTAAGGCACAGATAGTCCTGCTGATCGTACTGCTAGCGGCGATAGCAGACTTCTGCATAGGAACCATCATCGGGCCCAAGAGTGACGTAGAAATTGCGCAGGGGTTCATCGGTTATAATAGTGAGTAAATTACAGATACATCAGATCCAGTAGATGGAACTCCTAAACGCTTTTGATCTTAACTAATATGTGTGAACTAATGGGTGTACTTTGTGTCCGTTTCATGTATGTTTGTAAAGTCCCCCGCGACACAGGATTTCTTCCTAGTGCGGGAGTTGTCTTTAAAAAAAAATATGTGAATGTGAGATTTTTGTATGTACGTTACGTATTCCCTTAACTACTCAACCCACTTTCTGTCCGATGTCTCCATCTCACTCTGGCTACCGCCGCGTCGGTGTTGAGATGTCTCATGGGTATAGAAAAAGACAGAGTAACTTAAATGCTGATCCCGAGTTATCAATAGAAAAAATACATTTATGGGAGGACATCGAAGGCTTCTTTTAAATAAAAGTAAAAATATTATCATTTAAGACATTAATTTATCAAGCTTCTGATACGAGCTTTGGCACACTGTAGTTTCCCCTCAAACATCACTGCTTTGAGCTTTTTGACACACATTTTAATGAAATGTAATGTAATTTATTGTAATGTTATGTTATTTATTGTAATTTTTTATAATTTTTTTTCAGTGACGGTCCTTCACAATAACATGGGTCCTGACTATAGGCTGTTTGAGGGAGTTGAACACAATTTCTTCTCTGTGTTTTCTATATTTTTCCCGGCAGCGACTGGGATATTGGCTGGAGCTAACATTTCTGGAGACTTGAAAGTGAGTGAAGCAGCCAGATATTATATATATTTAGATGATAAGTTGAATATGTTCTGTCTGTTTCTTTATTATCGAGGCATCCCTAGAAGGAAAAAATAGTTTTGTTGTCAAATAAGGGCACGCCATATTTTTTGACGTGACAACGTCTTATAATTCGATGGAGCCGGCTGCACGCACGAAAAAACATGACTCATGCGGCGTTACCTCGCTCTGAGGCGTTCCATTTAAGGCTTGAAGTGCAAGCGAGAGCGCGGAACGAGCGACAAAGGGGCACAATCGGCCTCCGCGTTCGGCAGCGTTCGACATCTGTCTAACAAATAAAATTAAAATTTTCTTTTGAAAAATGCAACCATTCCATTAGTATTTTCCTTATGACGTTGTCACGTTCAACTATCGTCAGTAAAACGACTTTACAGACAACCGATTTTTTGTGGTAAAAGACGGTCAAACGAACATATGAACTCTACAGTCACAAATACGTTGCCGCTCTTTCAGTAACCCCAAAAAAACTCGGTGGAGCGCAGGGTTTGGGCTCCGTTAACCGAGAGAGGTTCGGTGACACGGTGGAAAGCAATGAAATAACTGCTTAATAGCGGTTTTCTGCGAAACCCCAGGGTTTTTCTTCATGATACCAGTATTATGAAGAAAAAAGTCTTTCCTAATTTTAACATTTTGAAGAAATCATATTCCTCCATATTTCCGTGTGGTGACGGATTAAGAATACAGAGTGTCACCAACCCTATTCATCCCGTGGGTGTCGTAAGAGCCGATTAAGGGAGAAAAGCAGTCCAGCACTGGACTATTAAAGGCTGTTGATGTGATGTGATGTGATATTCCAGAAAACTTATTTTGACCTCTAAATAGTACAAATAATAGTCATTTTAACGTAGCAAAATTTATGTTTTGTTTCAGGACCCCTCAAAATCGATACCAAAAGGCACTCTTCTAGCGATCTTCCTGACGACCCTCTCGTACCTGCTCATCGCGTTGCTGGCCGGCTGGACGGTTCTGCGGGACGCGTCCGGGGACGTGGCGGATATCGCCAACTTCACCATCTCCGACTGTGCCCTCAACGGCACTTGTCTGTATGGCCTGCAGAATAGCAATGATGTGAGTATATCCCCTTCTCTCGTCCTAAAGAAGACTTTGGAAGGACGGATTTTATATTCAATATCATGGTAGTAACTTACTAATCAAACCCAAAACTTTCATTGCGCGATGTAGGTTGCCTGATCGTATTTAGGTAAATCATTTCTGTAAGGTGATTATTGGTGTTCGCTACCAGTTTATTCGATAGCAGACTGCATAAATTATATAGTTTTAAATAGAACTATCATTGTGTTTAATGTGTTGGTCTAGTGGTTAGTGATCCTGATTGATAAATCGGAGGTCAGGAGTTCGATCCCCACCCAGGACAAAAAAAATGGGTTGTCTGTAAAGTCGGTTTACTGACGATAGTTGAACGTGACAACGTCATCAGAAAATACTGATGGAATGGTTGCATTTTTCTAAAATATATTATTGTATACGAGTAGCAGCTGTCCACGCGGACGCATCGCTCACTCAAGTAGGAGAGCGACAGATGTGGAACGCTGCCGAACGCGGAGGCCGATTGTGCCTCTTTGTCACTCGTTCCGCGCTCTCGCTTGCACTTCACGCCTTAAATAGAACGCCTCAGAGCGAGGTAACGCCGCATGAGTCATGTTTTTTCGTGCGTGCAGCCGGCTCCATCGAATTATAAGACGTTGTCACGTCAAAAAAATGTGTGATGAGAACGATCATTTGTTTAGAGATACACAAAGACACACTCTGTAATTTAATCTACATGTATGAATTTAGAAATATACTAGCGGACCCGACAGACGTTGTCCTGTCAAATTTGACACTGCGATGGTAGCGCCGTCTGTCTGATCCAATGTAAAACATTCCAAAATCAACAACTACTAATAAATTAAAAATTAATTAAAAAAACTGTCCAGCGGACAAAAGTGTGAATCTAAACCATTCCCAGATCCCCTTGAACACACACAAAAAATTTCATCAAAATCGGTCCATTCGTTTGAGAGAAGTTCAGTGACATACACACTCACAGAAGAATTATATATATAAAGATGTTTATCAGTACTCTGGTAACTATAGTACAGAATGTTTAGTTTGGAAGTATTATGAAGATATCAATACATACGTGCGCAGGTGATCCGTCTGGTGTCGGGCTTCGGTCCGCTGATCTACGGCGGCTGCTTCGCCGCCACGCTCTCCTCCGCGCTCGCCTCGCTCGTCAGCGCGCCCAAGGTGTTCCAGGTACCACGGGCAAAGCCTTCTTAACTCACATAATACTTTATTAGGAAGATTCTGATTTTTTTTTAAGGAAAACAAAAAAATACTAATCTGTTTCGAATTAAATTATACAAATTACGATATTCGAGTACTAGAAACAGTAAAAAGTATGGTAGACATAGTCTATAAAGTATAGCCTGTAAAGTTTTTTTAAGAATGGTCCTTTCAGCAAGACTCAGAACCGGGTTATTAAGTTCAATCCACCCGAGCGTGTGGTTGGGAACGTTGTACTAAGTATAAACGGCTGTACTAAGTAAGACTGCACGGATGGCGTAGTGGTTTAAGCGGTCGCCACGCTGCTTCCTACTACGCCGAGTGTTGTGGGTTCAAATCCCACATGGGACGACACCTTGTGTGATCCACAAATTGTTGTTCTGAATCTCTGTGTTCTTTGTGTCCGTTTCATGTATGATTGTAAAGTCCCCCGCGACGCAGGATATATTCCTAATGCGGGAGTTGTCTTTTTTTAAAGAAAAAAAAATTGCACTAACTTAAAAATATCTACCAACACACAATCCAAGTACCAGGCTATATCGAAGTTCTGTAGATAGACTGTTTTCGGACTTTTTAGGGCTCCAACAGATTTTTAGGACAGATGTTGGTATGGCAACCGAGACCGACCGCCAAGCTGGTCTCCGAGGCACGGAGGAGTCTCAATATGTTAAAAATCACCCATCCATAGACTGACCCGGCTAGGATTGCTTAACTTTTCAACATGATATCCTGCACTTAGCCACGAGCTCCAAGAGATACAATGTATATGTGATGTGTGTCAGGCGCTGTGTCAAGACAAGCTGTACCCGTACCTGGAGTTCTTCGCGAAGGGCTACGGGCCCAACAACGAGCCCGTGCGCGGGTACGTGCTGACCTTCGTCATCGCGCTCGCCTTCATACTCATGGGTGAGTCACACTTACTTTTAAGTGTCCTGCTTAAAGTACCATAATGATTGGGCGGCTAGTCTAGTGGTTAGTGACCTTGACTGCTTAGCCAGAGGTCGTGGGATCGATTCCCACACAAAAGAAATGATTGTCTGAGGAGTGTAATCGTTTGTTCTGTATTTAGGTGTAATTTATTTATAAAAGCCATGCATTTAGTAATATATAAGTATGTATATCAGCAGTCTGGTTACCATAACACAGACGTGTCAAGTTATTATAAATTTTGAGGTAGTTTTTTTATAAAATTATCCAGAAGTAAATAATCTTTTTATAATATTTATAACCCGAAAAGAATTTAATGGTTCTTCTAGCGGAACAGATTACTTTACATAAGTACTCATTCGATGAAAGCTTGCAATAAAAAAAAGAAAATCACACCAATTGGTCTATCTGTTTAAGAGCTGTGATTCTACAGACGGATACTCAACACAGACACACATGTATGTACACTCGTCAAATTTGTAACAATGCAAAATGTCAAAATTAAAAAAAAAATTCAAACATTAGTTTGCTGTTAACTGTTAACCGCACAGATGGCGTAGTGGTTTAAGCGGTCGCCTCGCCGCCGCCCGCTGAGTTTTGTGGGTTCGATCCTCATATGCGACAACACTTCGTGTGATCCTCAAATTGTTAATCAACTAGTTGCAGGTGTAACTATGATAGATCATTATCATAGAGTGACCTGCCGCGTCGGTGCCAGGCCGTATTAATTTTCTTGAGTAATGTTGTCCACAGGAGGGCTTAACCAGATCGCGCCGTTGATATCGAACTTCTTCCTCGCTGCGTACGCGCTCATCAACTTCTCAACGTTCCACGCGAGCTTGGCCAAGCCGGTCGGGTGGAGACCTACCTTCAGGGTATGACTAATTATTAACAAATTTTGATACGCTGTTAGGCAAAAACAGCATAAGGGTCACCTGAAATTAAGTGACCTGCAAGGGATTATCAGAGGGCCTCTTATATCCCCATTCACTCGGTTAATAACAAAAAAAAAAGAACAGCTTTAAACGAAAAATAATCAATTAGCTTTAAAACTTTATTTTGAGATCATGATATCGTGTATATAAAATACGTGTAAAGGCTACTGGGTACAGCAAATTTTTGCTCGAATTTGAGCCGCCCGTTGAGCCTTATATATATAGTAATCTAAATTTTTTTTGTCCATATATCAGCTGTGCTTTCAGTCCTGCTAAGTTTACATAGTTTGTTATCCAAATCATAAACTCTTATATATCCCATGAAATCTCTATTAACAATACTATGTCAGTGGTGTGAAGAACAAGACTGAAATAAATGTTTGTGATTGCCAGTTCTACAACATGTGGTTGTCGCTGCTGGGTTCTATGCTGTGCGTGGCGATCATGTTCGTGATCTCGTGGTCCACCGCGCTCGTCACCTTCGCGGCCCTACTGGCTCTCTACCTGCTCGTGTCTTATCGGAAACCAGGTACATTGTCATATAACAATATTACAGTGCTAATTACAAACTAAATTTTAAAATATATAAAAGAAACTAAATGTTTAATACATATTTAAAACCAGCAGTACCCGGCCACGATCCGCTGTGGCATATTGTGTCATAATCTCTGAGATAGATAGAGATTATTGCATTTTTAGTCAGATTAAAATTATATTTATTAAATGATTGGATAGAGTATTTACGGAAGATATTTGACTTTCCTGTTGGTCTGGTTAGTGATCCTGACTGCTAAATCAGACGTCGTGGGTTCGATCCCAACCCAGGAGAAATAATTGTTATAAGAGCATGATCATTTTATTAACAAGATTTATTAACAAACTACCTTTTATCTTTAACTTTAAATCTAAAGTGCGACCATTACTTTTCAATCAAAATTAATAATATCTATTTTATTTCTTGTTTTATCTGTTCGCTTTTTATTTATGAAATATTTAGAAATATTGAAGTGTGTTTATTAGCAGTTTAGTTACTGTAGTACAGGCTCTGCCCAGTTTGGGATCTGACGGCCGTGTGTGAGATGTATGAGGTTATTATTTTTCATGTTTTTCAGATGTGAACTGGGGTTCAACGACTCAAGCGCAGACTTATAAGACTGCGCTGTCAGGGGTCTACTTGCTCAACGCTGTCACTGAACATGTTAAGAACTATAGGTGCGTTAATTAACTTAAAGCAACCACTACATATTGGGGGTAATTGTGAATTTCGCACTTCATGGATGTTTTAATAATCACTACCGACAAGTTATCGGCTGCGGTATTTCCGGACCGATACGACTTTCAAGAAAACAGCAGCTTCCTCAAAGGGCGGCAACGCGCTCGTGACTTCTGAGTTGTAGGTGTTCGTGGGCGGCGGTAGTCGCTTTTCATCTGGTGACCCGTCTGCTCGTTTGCCCCCTCTTCCATAAAAAAAACTATCGAATAAAATTTGATTGATACATTTATGCACTCACGCCTAAATCCCCAAAGGGGTCAGCGATAATTTACTCACTCACATTTTATTACTCCTATTTACGTGATAGAGGGCAACGGCAAGCCAAGATTGGATAAAAAGATATGAGTGTCTTAAAAGGAAAGGTAGATAAAAAGGGAAGGATGCAGAAATTGCTTATTACGGATGGAATGGAGGAAGCCAGCAATATGGAAAAAAAGTTCAAGGTCAACACTCTAAGTGGCTATTTTCGGAAAGTCCAGAGCCGTCTAAACAATTGATTGGGTCGTCATATGATGTTTTTACCGCAGTTATATCATAGTTAAAATCTATCTAGGCGAAGTATGAATTTCGCAACTACCCTCAATATTGGTTTTGAAAATTGTTCTTATTCGATAACTAGAATAAATAAAAAGTATTAATAGTAATAATTTTTATTTATTCTAGTTAGCTAGAATAAATAAAAAGTAGTAATTAAAGCGTAATCGTAACTACGGTTTAAGTATGGTATTAAGTTTTATTTAGTTTTTGTATTGAGTTAGTTTTTGAAATATTTTATAAAAGTGCAGTTGATATACCAAATAAATAAACAAATAATTTTGTACTTGTTTGATAATATTGTTTTGTAATCTGCTCTAGATTTCAGAATTAAGTTGAATTAAAACGTAAATCTCTATTTACAGGCCACAGATCTTGGTGCTGACAGGGTTTCCAGGAGAGCGGCCCATACTGACCGACTTCACGTACCTGCTCACTAAGGGACACTCACTTATGCTTTGCGGGCATATAATGCAGGTACGGAGAAATGCAAGCCACCAACAAAAAGATTTTTATAAAATAATATTACTTTTTTAAAGTTTGTTACAAATTAAAAAAAAAATATCCCTGACTCAAAATCCTTCAAACGATTAGAAAAGGCCTTTAATTAAAAAATAAATAAAATTAGTCTATTCGTTATACACATACACGTAAATGTACAGATACCCTAGTGAAATTTTCTTTTGCCAGCGGTATTAAAATGTGGGCAACTTAATTTGAGTTTACAAGTAAACACTAGGTATTGGTGGAATGTGATCCACCTACGTAATAATAGCATATCCTACCTACAATAAAGGTTATCAACAGCCCTATCTATCAGCTGGCCATCGGTTCTGCCTGATATGTGGTCATAGCACATACTGAAAAGCCTTATCGATCAGAATGTCCACAAGATAAACAGATTTTGTAAAGATAAATGGTTCATGTGAACATGTGTTCAACTGCAGGTTACTTTCAACCTTTGAGGTCATTGATAGAGGTTCATGTTCTATGCAGGGCTATGGTGATGACCAAAATTTTTTTAAGAAATATAGACGGCAAAACATCAAAGTTATATGTAATTAATGACTCAATATGTCCATAGGGCGCTGTGAGCCACCGCGGCCGTGAGGCGCTGTGCAGTCGCGCCTACCACTGGTTCAGCCGCCGCAAGATCAAGGCCTTCTACACCATCGTCGATGATGTCGGCTTCAAGGACGGAGCCAGTGCCTTAGTGCAGGTATTTATGACTTCCAAAAAAATGCCACCAATTGAACTGTGTTAAAATCACTTGCTACTGAAATTTACTGAATCTGGTATTGTGTATGTTCATGTTTTCTTTGCAGGCAAGTGGTATAGGAAAGCTGAAACCAAATATTCTACTGATGGGATTCAAAGAGAACTGGCAGACGTGCGAACAAAACGAAATCATTGACTATGTTGAGGTTATGCAGTGAGTATAAACATTAGTACATTATATAAATTTTGCTTTATATTAACCACATATGGTTAGGAAGTCGGACAATGGGAATTGATCATAACGTCAAAGACAGTTGTATTCATTAACAGCCTTTAATAGTCAACTACTGGACATAAACCTCTCCTTAGGAAGGAGGTTTTGGCCTAATATACCACGCTGGCCAGACGGGTTGGTATAGGGTTTCTGTCAAGTTTTTCTTCTCTTTGCAATGCTGTTGTCCTGCGTAGTTTACTCCCTTAATCGGCTCTTACGACACCCACGGGATGAATAGGGGTGGTGACACTTCGTATTCTTAATCCGTCACCACACGGTATACAGTTGTATTAACCAATGTCTTGTATTGGTTATGCTTTATAAGTCAGTAAATGGCCTAAACTTAAATCCTAGATCAGATATATGGGTAATTAAACCCCGCCTTGTCAAGCTACTGCGTTCTCAGTCCTGTTTTATTCTATATGTATCTCAAGTATATATCTATACGATATATACACAACAATATACACCCTGACCAATCAGGTTCTAATCTTTCGTACGAAACGATAATTTCTTGTAACCTGATTGGTCAAGAGGCGGAGCTTGATCTTTGCGTCACTATTTTCTTAAACCGAATGGACTGTACAATATTATTCGTTGCCCAAAAAACTTCTCACTCTCGTGTCTTAAAATTTTATGCGATATATATAACGTTTGTTTGATATTACAGCAAAGCGCTGGACATGCACATGGCCATAGCCTTGCTCCACGTGGAGGGGGGACAGTACACCAGCGAAGCGCTTGACGACGATCTGTTGGCATATCTGACAGATATTAATATAAAGGACCTATCCACTTTTTCACGTGAGTCAATAATTACTATATACGCCTTTATCTATCAAATATACTGTGGCGCAGAATTTAATAATTTACTTATTTAAATATAGTCCTTATGTACATAACATTTCAATACAAATTAGCTTTTCTTTAGGTTCTAAAGGGGATAACAAGGAATCGAAATCGAACGAGAGTCTCAACATGCACTCTAGAGGTGAGTAATATTTTAATCTCTATCAACATTAAATTTAGAAAATTGTAGTGGCAAAGAATTCCATTTTTATACAACTCGAGTTTTTTTGTTCTGAATGGTACTTTTTATCTAATTCTACTTTGAATGCAGGTTAATACATAACAAGCAAATAAAAGGAACACACACATTTATTTAAGGTATCCATTTAATAACCCACCTCTTCACAAAAATACAAAACAAATGTCAATATTGATAATGGAGATATTCATGCATTCACCCATTCATCGTTCATTAGTTCAATCACTTTCATTCATTCGTAATTGGTCTGATCCAGGCAGCAGTATGTCAGATGTATCGATGGGCTCGCCACAGTTGAATCGCGCGGTCGTTACCGACCCGGCTGCAAAAACCAAGACTAAGGAACCATCACAGAAGTCTACGGAAAAAGAAAGGTAGGTAATACATTTTGTTTTTTTCCTATAAATAAGAAAAACAGACATGGGTACCTGCAACTTACGTCACATTGAGTTTATTTCAAAGGAATGAGTGTTTTGGCTTTCGGTAATTTCGCTCATTCCGTGAAAATTTGAAAAGTAACGAACGGATTACTTAACACTAGAAATGGAAATTATTGCTAGTTTAAATTTATATTCTTGTGATGAATAGATTGGCTTTAGTCACTGTGATTTTAGCTGTGATAAATCACTACTTAGGTTTGGTCATAGACAAAGATTAATGCCTTCAAAAACAACCAAACCAATCTTTTGGAACGAAGTTCCTTATCGCGCGTTGTGAAAGGGGGCTAGACGGAAAAAAAATCTCACGAAAAGTTGTAACGACACTTTTTATTTTGAATTGTCACTTGTCAGTCATTCAGCGCCATCTATCGAATAGATAGGAAATCATTACTTTACATCTCAGTAAAATTAAAATTTATGTTCTTAGGTTGAGCAAAAATATTATATTCGACATCATTTCTCAAGGAGATTTTACCAATGTATAAATTGTTTTAATTAGAAACCAACTTAAAAATATGTAGGTAATAGCCGCTTTCATAGATGGCGTTGTAATTAAAATCGTGTCGAATCAGTTTTACTCGATCATCACAACTTCGTTCCTATCGGGTGTCCCACGACACCACACGACTTTTTTTTTTTAGAAATATACCTTCCGCCTGTGGCGCCAAGCCAGCGTAATAATAAGTCGCAGTGATGTTGTAGATGAGTCACATGTGTGATAAAATCATATGATTAAGCGCAGGTGATTCCAATATTATCCCATGCCTATTACTATCTATTACTTACAATTTTTTATTTCTGTCCCCTCTGTAACCACCCATAGTATATGTTAAGCCCTCTTCCCCCTTCCCCTCCAGTTTTCACGTAGTAATTCATAAATTGTTATAAATCATTTTTCGCAGACAGACTATAAGTGTTAAACGCTGTACACCATATTTGAATATAGCTTGAAAAACATTGGGTGACAAAGGTGGTAGTTTGAAGACCCCTACCCTTCCAGAAAGGGTTACTTAGTATAGTACGTTTCCTAAATGGATGATTTTGATGAATTTTTAAAAAGTTTTATTATATTTTATTATAAATGCGAAAGTGTGTCTGCCTGTATGTCTGTTACCTCTTCACGCTTAAACCGCTGAACCGATTTAGATGAAATTTGGCATAGGGATAGTTTGAGTTCCAGGCAAGGACGAAGGATAGTTTTTATCCTTTAAGGGTGTGGAAGTTGGTATGGGGAATCAATAACTGCTGAACTGATTCAAATTGAAAGGGGAATGGCGATATAAGGCCCAGAACGCCAAAAAATTGTATTTTGCTGAAAAAACATTAATTAAATTTTCTTAAATTTCCTTGCTATTCAAGTCAGGATAAAAGTCAAAATCATTTTCGGAGAATTAAATAACACCAATTTTTTTATCTTAATACACTGACATTAGCATTTGCTGGGTTGCCAACATTTCGTAAAAGAATCAAATAGTATTTTGACAAAATATTCATATTGAGCTTTTTTACTTACTTGTACTTTATTTATACACACATTTGAGTATTTTAAAATTCTATTGTATTATAATTATGAATTGACAATGAACATATAAAATACCGATCTACTTGTCGATCGATGAATATGATATTTTGTTTATTTAATGGCAATTATACTATTCTTATTTTAAAGCTCTAATCAAACTGACAGCTACCCAGTTGTCAATTTATCATTACTTTGTTTGCTTTTGCATCATTGTGATTTGTGCGTGTTTCTCGATATTAATTAATATTAAATCGTTGATTCTGACCGTGAATACTGACTCTGGCGATTTTCAACCATCTAAAATCATAAAAGATCGAAAAAGAGCAGGAAAACTATACCAACCCGTTTAACCACTGGGGTAGGCTCATGCTCAGTAGTGGGAAGTTTATTGGCTAATATGGATGGATGGATTATAAATACAATATTAACTAGATATATTTCCAAGAACTTTTAAAATTATAACACACACATTTAAAAAATAAATTAAAAACACACATTAAAAAAAAATCTCGACATTTATGTAACCCCAAGTTTTGTGTTGACTTTTCTTTTGTGAATAATTTATTTATCTGTTAAAGAAATATTTGCATCCATATTCACATATGGGCACTCACGGCCTAAAACACTATGGTGGCCTGGCATTTCCCTTTGATTATTGATAAAGACCCCTTTACTTTTTACCGTGATAACCGCGATAACTGAATAAACTGAGCACGGTGTGTGTAGCGGCGGCGTGATGGCGCGGCTGCGGGCGGGCGGCGCGGTGGGGGGCGCGGTGGGGGGGGCGGTGCGGCGCGCGCTGGGCGCGGGCTCGGTGCGGCGCGCCTCGTCGCTCACGTCGGCCGAGCTCTTCACGCGCCGCCAGGCCGGCACCGTCGACGTGTGGTGGCTCTACGACGACGGAGGTCACCCACCACTTATTTACTGCTTACTTGTACACACATATACGAATTTAATATGTCCCACTTTATATAACCGATGATTAACCTATTTAGCCACACATAATAAACATAACTAAAAATTACGGTACATTTGGGAATTGTGGATACACAATTTCTAGATATACATTTCCTAGACACAATGATTCTTGACATAATAAACTCGAGTCTCTATATCACATTTATCCAAAAAATGCTGTCACATAAACCTTTGGTTTTCAAAAAAAATATTACAAATTTATACGAAAAATATGGATTGTCACCACTACTCATCCCGTGGGTGTCGTAAGAAACGACTAAGGGAGCAGACTACGCAGGACAACAGCACTTCAAAGAGAAGGAAAACTTGAAACAAACCTTATAACCTACCAAACCGTCTGGCCAGCGTGGTATAATAGGCCAAAACCTCCTTTCTAAAGAAAGACCTATGTCCAACAGTGGACTGTTATAGGCTGAAATGATGAATAACGGTTTTTCTAATTTTATTACTGTTTCACAGTAAATGAAGATGTTGCTTATAAAATGTAGTTAACATTTGATAAGCAACATCTTTCCTCTTGCTCTCCTAAAATCTGTAATTGATTTAGTCAAAAGGGACAAAATTGTGTAACAGGAAACCAAATAAACAGACGTTGTTTAATTTAACCAATGAGAGTGACGGCGTGCGGTTTTTGGTCGGTTCGAGTCCGACATACTCACCCGTGGGACGATATCCGAGGGGATTACCGCACAGGAAGAAAAAGGTCTCATATTCCACTACTGTAAAGTTCGTTCGTCTTTTATATTACAATACTGAATCCACCTTTTATACATGCAGGTTTAACCCTTCTACTGCCGTACATACTGTCTACACGCCGCGCGTGGTCATCATGTCCGTTACGCGTTTTCACACTGGCCAACAAGAACACAGAACTTGAATTAGAAGAGAGGAAGTAAGTCTTGTACTCAGCTTATTTATACCTGTAAAATATATATATATTTTTAATCTTTATTTATTTAGAGGCTTTTATTACAAAATAATATGTTAGCCCCATCGTGGCTTATTCTAAAACACTAACTATGTTTGATAGGAGACAGAGGAAGTCGTTCTGCAAATATCTCAAATAGGTCTAATTCCACATTTGAAGAGGGGTTATTTAGAATTTCTTTATTTAATTAATAGTCCTATGTCGTACACATTAGGATTATATTTGAACATCAACGAGTTCCTCTGGCGCCGATGTTTGACACAATCCATCAGTAAGTGTTTTACATCATCAAGGACTCCGCAGGTATGATATGGCCAAACTTTCTAGATGGATAGTGGCCTGAGCGCAGTCTATGAGATGTAACAATGATATTTCTCTTTAACTTAATACAATAATAAACCAGGGCATCCTAGCAGGCTGATGTTGAAATCTGGATAATATTAAAGTTAACGAAATATGCTTATTTGACACTATTGCATATAACGTTGTGATTTTATCTCCATTTATAAGTACGTGCATGTTATCTATAAATACTTTGCTGGAGTCAATGGGCGCGTTTTTTAACTTGATTCCAACAGAATGTACCCCGGAGTTAACTGTCGCATCAAGTTTGACTTGCCAAACCAAATAGCAATCGGCTCGAAGGACCAAATATTGAGTGATGTTGATGTAGTATAAATTATAATTCTATATATATATATATAGAATTCTATAAATTAAAATAATATAATATATCAACTATATATTATATTAATAATAAGGTATTTTTGAATTTTGTTGTTTTACGAGCAGATAATCAACTCATTAGCTTTTGACGACCCCATATTGTGATATGAAATCTGCAATTATTAATAGTTAAATAAAGTACTGAATTACTCGTACAGTTATTTATTCTCATGCTCTTTTTATAAATTTGTCAACAGCATGGCATCTCTACTATCTAAGTTCAGAATAGACTACTCCGCATTGAAGATGGTGCCGGACATCACGCGAAGACCGAAGGATTCCACGCTCGCATACTTCGACAAACTTATCCAACCATTCCGAAGCCCCGATGATAACGACTCGGGTATGTTCACTCTTCTAATAAAACAGCACTGCAAGGAGAAGGAAAACTTGAAGCAAACCCTATACCAAACCCTCTAGCCAATGTGGTATAGTAGACATCAACTTCTTTTCTAAGGAGAAACCTAAGTCCAGCAGTGGAATTTAAAGGCTGTTGTTGATGATTGTTGGAAAATAGTTTTTCATAGCAAAAACAACTTTCCTGACTACACAATAAAGTGCAAAGTAACTTTTAATAATGTGTTGTATTGAAAATAAATTTTGTTACGAGCTATCGTTCATAAGATGTTTTGTAAACAATCAACCTAGTTCCGACATAAATCGACGTTGCGACACCTCACTGAATACTCGTCTGATCTTCTTAATGTGTCAAGTTTTCATTATTGATATAATCATTGTTTTTCTGCAGACGGCGGAATCACAGAAGCAGACCTGATAGCTGCTCAAGATCGAACCTACCGTCACCTACGCCTGCGGGAGCTCATATCCGCACAATCTCGAGGAGCCAGACTTGTCTGTGTAACATTACCAATGCCGAGACGAAGGGGAATCGTGCCCCCTCCCTTGTACCAGGCCTGGTTGCACGCCATAGCCACTGCTGCTGATAGAACACTCCTCGTCAGGGGGAACCATGCTGCTGTGCTTACCTTCTACTCTTAGTGATTTAGAGAATAATATGACACATGTCAACCGTTTAACTGTTTGCTAAAAGTACCAGGAACCTATAACTTACGAAGAGGTTAACCTATATTGCGATAAGAGATTTGTACCAGTGAATTAGCCAATAGCATTGCTTGCTTGATATGATAGGCGGCAAACGGTCACCATAGCCTATGTGCCAATTCGTCTTTTTATATAACCCTACATGTCATGTTGCAATGGTTATTTGAAGCCCATGTTCCTTATCGTAGAAACAATTATATAGTAAACGAACCGTTGATAATGAATATATCTGTCAATGTCTGTTTATAGCGGGTACGTCCTTGTGTGAGGTGATGTGACGTCAGATCCGCTTTTAATAGAGAAGTACGGACCCTTCTACCCGCTGTTCCTTAAACAAAGGAAGGCCTGAATATCGATGTTTTTAGTACACTTTATACGTAAAATTTTAGTTTTTTAGTAACTTTTGTATATTTCTATATTTAAATAATTATTAATGTGTGTGTTAGACTAAATGTTTTTTATTTAAATATAAAATCATTCCAATGTACAAATAGTTTTGACGCCTTAAAAATTAACGTGTCATTGAAACTTGTCCGTGGACGTCGGTACCAACTTACCATCAGACGACCGGTCTACTTGTTTGACCTCTATATCACAAAAATCTATCACAAAATAATGTAGTTGTATCTTTTTGTACGTAGCACTTATTATTCGGCTAGAATTTAGATTTTTTATAAAAAGTCGAAATTTTATGTATTTCCTTCGCCCGGTAAACATTTACTCAAATCTTAACGGTATTTTAATAGTATCTACCGATAATTATGTAAAAGATAGAATTTAATCAATCATAAGAAAAGTAACCAATCAAGCCAGTAAAACACCGATATTGTGTTGCCTGTTTAAATAAAAGTTAACCTACTAAAAATAGTTGGCTCATTTGGCACCTTTAAATGTTGAAGTCATAGTCTATTAACCGGTGTTGCCACATAAAATATTACTACAATACCTTAAATGTTACTATAACAAAATCTTTTGTGCTTACGGTAGAAATGATTTTATTCGCTTTTTTTTTATAAAGGCAAAGATTGAATGTTAATGAAGTACAAATTTATTTTTAAGCTTTGTGTTTTGTTTTTATTTATTGACATATTGTTTTACAACGACGACTTATATTTAATATTTAATCTGAGTGATGATAATTGTCAGTTTTATTGATATAAAGACCGAAAAGTTATTTAATATTTTTCTTTTATTGTAAGAAATTGATAAACAATCACACTAAACTTTAACAGAAACAATTAGGAAGTTAAATAATTTTTAAACTAGAAGTTTAACTAAAAAAATATATTATCAAATTTCTTATTTATTGTCTGTTTGTTCGTTTGCTTTCTGTAACCATTAAAAAAAAAACGAATATTGACTATTCTCAGCTGAATAGTTTTTTTTTGATACGTGTGAGACTGCCTTTGTTATCCATACCTATACTCCGCCATAGACTATAATAATAATTATAAGTAAAAAATAAATGTTGCCCCAAAAAAAATATGACATCTAATTTTCAGTGCCTTTTTTTGCTACTATTTATATTCATAAATTAGCTTGTATTAAAAAGTAGATTTTGCTACCAAGTAGTTACTGGTTTAAATCCCACTACTGTTGAGAACCCACTCCTGATACTAGCATTTAGCTTAGCTGGAGGGGTAAGCTAGAATACTATGTGTGACCCAAGATTCTTTAAAAAAAAAAAACAGTTTTGTATATTTTTGATAGATCTGAGTTTATTGTGAATCTTAATAAATCTCTATTATTAAGTAATATTTTTGCTACATGTATACAATAATTGATTATCATGTTTTAGAATGTATTTTTATATCGTAACGGTGAACGTAGTATTATTATAAACCAGAAGTACATTGCTCCTTTTCTTTGTGTCCTGTACACAGCGTGTAGTTTATTAGTTAGCAAAACAGCAATGTACTTCAATTTGTCGTAAAGTGTGCAAATTGTTTTTTTAGCTTGTTTGTACTTGTGAGAAACTTGTCAGATGATATGAACACATGACTTTTTAATTAATTAATTATTTTTTTTGAATAAAAGCATGAGTGGTATTCATATTTATAAAGGATATACAGTGTAGGGCATTCAGCGATGCGAATAGTCGCTTCACTCATTCTTGAAATACACACGCAAATAATACTTTATATCCTTTATATTTATATACGGAACTTAACTATCAATAAGAGGATCACGTATGTGTTTAATTCTTTGAACTGTCACAGTCTGGTGGCGGCCATGGATCAATTCACACATCACATCACATCAACAGCCTTTAATAGTCCACTGCTGGACATAGAGAAGGTAGGTTTTGGCCTACTATACCACGCTGGCCAGACGGGTTGGTATAGGGTTTGTGTCAAGTTTTCCTTCTCTCTGCAGTGCTGTTTTTTCTGCGTAGTTTGCTCCCTTAGTCGCCTCTTACGATACCCACGGGACCCATGGATCAATTACGAATACATAATTATACATTGTAAGGTAGCCTTTCCATGACAGTTTTAAACTTGATCTTCCCGAGACCGCAATTGGGTGTTTTTGATCAAAACTTCTGGTAAAAAAAACATATTATATTTAGAGTAAAACATGTTTTCACCTACCACAATGCTTAATCGATTCGAACTAGGCTAGTTCGATTCGATTGTAGCGGTTTTAATAAATCGTCACTGGAGCGCCTGTAATCCACCTACTTTCTTATATATTAGGTATATCCATTGACAATTCATGTGCTCTAAAATTAATACTTTGGTAATCTGTAATGTAAAAAGCAATTAGGGTTAAAGACGAAGTCCTTAAGCGTATGCGTAGCAGGAGCCTTAACGGGTTTGATAATTTTGTCACATAAGTTTATAAAGGAAAAAAAAAAAACAAAAAATCAATTTTTAAATATTGAAAAAGCAAACCTAAAGCATGTTTTAATATCTTTGATTTCTTTTTTTTAACATTTTGACTTGAGAGAATGCCATTGACTATAATCAGGTAATCTTGACCTACTTAACGGACATACAATTTTATTGGGTTAATGTTTCTGCCTCGTTTGGGATCAGACGGCCATGTGTGAGATCTGTGAAGCTATTATTATTTTAGAAGCGGACAACTTTGCCCACTGGTTATGAAGGCAATGGGTTGAGTTATTCCAGAAATGATCGTTTTTTAACCTATTATTTTATGACTTCTGATTAATTTTTTTATTATTTTGACATTAATTTTCAACTTACGACTAATTTATTAAAGTAATTTGTTTAATGTATTTCTGTTTACAAACTGGTATGTTTATTCTTTTAATGTATTACTGCTATGTGCTAGATTTGCTCCAAAGCTTATTTATTGTAATTTTAGAACTGCTGTACAAATAGTCTAAATGGATTGTGATTAAATGAAATTTTGAGTAATAGTTGTTTGATTTTTAAGGAACCCTTTAACATACAAGCACAGCAGATTTGGGCTCCAGTTTCACACCTCCCAAATCGATTTTTGAAGAAGGAGACAGCGTCAGTATTTAAGGAGAGAAACCTAGCACTGGTCCTAGGTTTGTAAATCACTACGAATATGGGGTCCAGTAAGAGCAACCTAACATTTGCACTATGGCTTCTCATTTCTCAAATTCTTCTCGAGTTGTCAGGATTTCTCTTGAAAATAGGCCGCTAAGTTGTCTGTACACAGTCAAGTACAGATACACAGGTCAACAATATTTTTTACCCAGAAACCGGAGTATACTTATTAGTAGGATTTTGAATCCAAATCCGGTCCAAAATTGCTCTATCACGTCAGGTTTTTGAGATATTCTAACTTAAAAGTGCAAAAACGCCCATTTTTGAGGTTATGTATCTCTTCAAATTTTATTATGCCTAAAAAAGTACACATTCGCCTCCCAACCAATCAAATACTGCCCACCCCGAGTTCAGATAAGCAAACCTTTAACTGACCTACAAGCCTCTAAACTAAGCAAACCCTGTTCAATACTATCTCAGCGAAAAAAAAATGATATTTGAGCAAACTCAAGGTCATTTGAAAGCTAAAGGAATTAGCGCACAAAAAATCCTTCGGGAAAGTACACTCTGGTTTCTGGTTTCTGGACAAATTTTGTTGGCCTGTGTAATTTATGATGTTTAATGAAAAATTAAAATACAATTTAAAATTTGTTTGGTCTTGTTAAGGTTATTGTTTTATATTTTGAATGTTATGCAGTTTAGCTCATGTTAATGATAAAATCGTTCTATTGTATGAAATTATTGTTCTAAGAAAATCCTAAAGTTCTCGAGAATTCCCGCTCACTACCACCAACCACTTTAGACCACACACCAACTTTAGACTAGACTAGATACTCGACGTATCTAAGACGTCTAAAGTTGGTGCGGGTGCTTTAATGTGTACTGCAATTTTATTTTACATCGACTCGCTCTCGACGGCGAGCGCCTTTCATCAATCATCATCAACAGCCTTTAACAGTCCACTGCTGGACATAAGCCTCTCCTTAGAAAGGAGGTTTTGGCCTACTATACCACGCTGGCCAGACGGGTTGGTATAGGGTTTGTGTCAAGTTTTCCTTCTCTTGCGCCTTTAGCATTGCGATTAGGTGAGATTTCAGTGCGGGCCAATCGTAGCGCCGAACGCGGTGACCGTGACAATCGAGTAGAAGTGAAATAAACTCGCACTTGGCCCACTGTTGATTGATTGATTGGCCCACTGAAGAAACTGTATACACAAGAAGTCAACGACTTCGTGGGCCACCACCACCTTGGCTAGCTGGGACGATCTTACATCCCAGTGTAGAGTTTTATCAGTAAATACAAGAAGTCTCTGGCTGTTTTTTATGGTATATTTCATAGACAAAGAGGGTCAAAGTTTCTTGAAGAGGAGTATATTAAATGAATACATACATACGAGTGGCCTAATTTAATGTTTTTAGTTATTATAAGTAGGTAAACTAAGAAACTTACAAGTAT